AGATGGATGGGAGAAGAATGAGAATGAATTTAGATGGATGGGAGAAGAATGGAAATGGATTCAGATGGATGGGAGAAGAATGGAAATGGATTCAGATGGATGGGAGAAGAATGGAAATGGGTTCAGTTGGATGGGAGAAGAATGGAAATGGATTCAGATGGATGGGAGAAGAATGGAAATGGATTTAGATGGGAAAAATTAAGGATAGATTCAGATGGAACAAAGAAAGATGGGAATGAATTCAGATGGATAGGAGAAGAATGGAAATGGATTCAGATGAAAAAAAAAAAACGGAAAATAGACTCAGATGGAATGGAGTAGAATGGTAATGAATTCAAACAGGATGGAAGAAGAGTGGGAATAAATTCAGTTGGACAAAAGAAGAAAAATGGGAATTGGTTCAAATGGATGGCAAATGAATGGGAAACAATTCAGATGGAAGGGATATGAAAAATTGAATGGATTCAGATGGAAAGAGTAATAAGGAATTGAATGGATTTAGATGGAAGATGGATGAGGAATTAAATGGATTCAGATGGAAAGGGAAAAAGTTTGGAGTAAAATTGAAGTTGATATAATTTTCAAAACCATAAAAAAAAAAATATAAAATGCGACGAAAAAAAAATAAAACATTTTCAAGATAACGATTGTTTCAGAAAGTATATATATTTGCTTAGCTTTGCATACATCTTTTTTTCGGTAAACAATTTTCAACCATTTCATTAAATTATTTGATTTTAAAAATCCAATTCACTAAATCATTCAATCCATTTTTTAATCTTTTTTTTTCTTTTTAAATTTTTTTTCGGTAGCCAACACCAATAACAATTATCAATTCTGATATATTTCAATTTTATCACTTAATTAATTCAATCTATTTGATATATTTTTTAAACATAATTGGATGAGTTAATGTGCATCTTTTTTTTTCTTTAAATTATATATAAATTAAAAAATTTTTGAAATTTATAAATTTCCAATTAAAATGAAATGATAGCATTTTAGTAATACATTAAAAGGATAAGATATATACAACAATACCATTTCCTTGATATTGAAAAGAAAGCAATAAATTAAAAGAGCAAAATGATTGATTACTTCTTCTATCAATAATTATTCGTTAAGTTGTGATGGTTGAAATGGTTAAAAAAAGAAAGGAAAAAAAAAAAAGACAAAAAAAAATTTTGGCTATCTTTCTCAACCATATTTCCTCATTTCAACTTTTTAGTTTAATTTTTCCCTTTTCACATATTTTAATTCAAATATCAAATAAGTTAATTGTATATATTTCATCATTTAAACTCTTTCATTTCCAATTTTTCCTCCTTATTTCTGTTGCAAATTTTTGCAAATAATTACCATATTTTTTCGTAATTTATTAATTTAACTTTTCGTTTTTTTTCATTTTTTTTTAGACTATATAGTTTAACCTTTTTTCAGTTTGAATTTAAAAAATTCGAATTAAAAGATTATGTTTATTGGTTAAAATTCAAATTTAAAGAATTAACTTGATTAATTAAAATTTGAATTCAAAAATTAAATTCATTAATTATATCCTTTCAAGTTATTTCAGTCTTTTTCTTTTTTTTTTGATTTAATTATCTGAAAAGGATAATATTTAACATATGGCAAATGATTCTTATCTATATAAACATTATTTCTTTGTGGCGAAAACATAAATGTAAGGCTTGAATGATTTATGTAGTTATTATATTGATATGATAATTAATAAACAAACTAATTAATTATCTGAAATGATTATTTCTTGTGAGATTTGAAATTATTAAAATATTACTTTAAAATAATTAAAATTTGTTGTAAAAATTCAAAATGAGCAATCTGTTTCATACTCAATTAACGCATAATTCTTTCATTTTAATAAAATTAATAAAATTTTTTTTTGATATCAAAAATAAATATTTAAATTTTTACAATTATCATAAATAGATTAAACAACCATTGCAAATTGTCACACTCATTTTCAAATTTTATAACAAATATTTCTATCAATTTAGTTATTTGATTATCATTTCATTTTTTGTTTTTTCCATTTTTCACCCACTCCAATTCCCTATCCCCTTTATCTTGATATGATAATTAAGAATTATTAACAGAGAGAAAAGAGAGAGAGAGAGAGAGAGAGAAGA